TCGAAAACTGGTTTTGCGTAAAAATTCTCGATTTTCCTTAATTTATATTTTGTTTTTCCCAACGCTTTTTAAAAGAACTGGGATGCTTACCAAGTTGTACCAACTAGATTCACTTTCCCACCAGAAAAGATATTAAAGTTGAAAATCGTGGCATTATTTCAACTACTTATCAGGTAGATACACAGACAAAAACAAACAAAAAATCAATACATTCATTGCTCTTCTCAGAATCTAAAACGACGATTTAATAGATAGTTCACCATAACAATATAAATTTAACAACTTTGAATTCATTGTTAATATTATGATTACTTTTTATAATTTTTATACTTTACTTATCTTTAAATTGCATTCAGTATTTAAATGTGTGGGTAAAGGTATCATTGTATCAAGGTTTTAAATAAATATCAAAGGTTAATTTATCATATTCTATTTAAATGTATGAATAAAAATAAAACATACAAAATATAATATAATTATAAAATATTATTTTTTGTATACATTACACTTGAAAAATTAAATAAATATTTGAGTGTACTTATTCAACTCGGGAAAAATTGTTTTTAAATGAAATGCTTTGAAATTCAAAACAATAATACAATACAATGAAGGCACGGAGGTGATCAAGATGACTGCTATAATTAGTCTATTTGATTAAGGGGGGGGGGGGCGTTTGGATAGTTTCTATAGGTTTCTATTTAAACAAAAAAAAAACAATCTTCTTTTTTCTCAACTTCCTAAGGATTTTGAAAATTACTGGAAACTTCTTATTTTTGACCCCCCAAAGTATCAACTAGATTCACTTTCCTACCAAATAATGATATTGAAGTAGAAAATTAAATCATTTTTATAGTCCCAAAAGGCAAAAGATGATGACAGGTAGAAAAAAAAATATATATAATTGTAAAATCAATATATTTATCGATCCGTTTGGAATCTAAAATATAAATTTATAAATCGTAAATATTTATTAGGTTTCTTCATAATTGTGTTAAATTATTAGCAAGTTTTACCGACATTTATTATAATCTGCACTCTACAATTTTTCAGGGTAAACGAAATATTAAGAATTTTAACCAAATATAAGTTTGTAATAGTAAATACAAGTTGATATTAAATTTTTTTTCTTCGGTACAAGATTAATACGTACACATTTTCTTGGACGTGAAACGAAAAAAGGAGGAAGTGAATAACACACGACCGTAATTTACCATGATTTTGAGCCCAGCGACAAGTTTGAGTGCACAGGTATAGTAATCAAGTTTGCGCATCGGACCGTATATTACATCCGGACCGGGAGACGTCACCAATTTACGGGATTTATAGGGCCAATTTATTTGGATCACTTATGAAAAACCGAGTTCCATTTACACGGTTTTCTATTGCTGTGGGGCTGTGGCAAAGAAAAAACAGACAAAGTTTTTCCTTTACGTTACCCTGGAAAATATTTAATAATTCTAAACATTCAGCTGGTCATCTCACTGCTATAGATATTTACATAATAATATACTACTGACACCAGGAATATTATTTATAAATTATTTTTGCATTATTCTACGTCATAATATACGATTGACACCAGAAATATTCATTATTGTGCATTGCGTATAATGTTCATTTCATGTTCGATTTGTATTTCATAAACAAAGTGATACCATTTTAGTCTAACATTTTTTGGCGTCTATGAATACAGTTATATTACAGATGACAATGATTTGAAATGTATTTTAAATTATATGGTTATAATATTATGTGATTTATATGACAGATAAAAGTAAGGGCTTGCTGTAGCTCTGTAGGATATGGAAAATCCTATCGTGGTTACATAATATTAATAATAATAATCGTGATGTGGTGGTGGTGGTTAGGTCTTTAAGCTAGTTTCTCCCGCAATACCTCAGTGTGGTTTAAAATGATAACATATTATGGTTCACAAATAATGTACTTCGTTAGAATTTCATTGGGATGCGGTGTGGATTACAAGACGAACACGTAGTATGGTAAATAATACTTTTCTGTTTGTAATAACTAATAATAAATCAAATTATGAGACTCTACGGAAAATAATATTACTAAATCTCCCTGGTTTGTTCGGTTTGTCGTCGAGAAAAATATGATCACCTCCCTACGATATTATCAGTTGTCTCACCATTTATCATGGTTCGTTAAGACAATACACTTGGCTTAATAATTAACTTGAGGCAAACTACGTTCAATAAATAATACAATATACATATTATTGTTATGCCATCGTTGAACCCTTTGCCTGGGGCTACCATGCACCTGTAAGCTATGATTTCATCAGTTCTCTGTCGATACTGTATCGTTGAACATCGGGGCGAGATTTAGATGGGGGGCTAGGAGCCCCGACCTCCTTCTCACCCCCCTTCCAAGACACATTACTATATATGAGTGCCTACAACTGGTTACTGCCATTGAATATAAGGACTACCTATATAATCAATGTATATTTATGTATCAATATATAATATAATTATTTTACATTTGTGCTGTGGTAAAATTATTGCCCCCCACAACATAATATCTGTGGAAACATATCTGTGGAAGTGTTTCGGATCCAAGTCTCGAAAGATCGAGGAGCAACAGCTAATATTGGAGGCCTCTTAAAACAAAAAGATGCTGATTATAGTTTATAGTGATTCAATAACTAAATTAGTTTCATAATTTTTAATCAATTATAAATAATAATATGGTAATTCAGTAATTGGAATGAATAATATCTGAATTTTGAAATCTTTATGAGTTTGTGGTAAATAGAGAAATACCTAATAATAATGTAACTCAGTAATAATGAGTAGATTGAGTAATTAAGTTATCTTTAATAATATAATATATTAATGAGATGGATTCGATATCATGCCCAAGCCGTATAATGATTTAAACCCCGAAAATGTTCAGCCCTGAAAACTTTTATCTTAAAATATGAAAGCTAGAAAGTTGGTTTATAGCTCGTTAAAAAGGGATTTTCAAGTATATACAAAATGTGAAATTTAATAATTTTTAAAAAATAATTACAATATTAACTTTTTAACCCTTAAAAAATAGTCAATTTTAGATAGATTTTTCATTAGCAAAGCAGATTTTCGAAATTGAAAAACGGGTTTCATTGTTTAGGGTCTTGTTGGAATCACATTAGTTATGAGAAGTGCAGTAAAGAGTTTCAGACCTTTATCTTTAATTGTTCATCCACTAGAGAACTTTTAAGTTGTACATCATAAAAAACACACACGTGTATAGATAAGAATTAAGTACCAAAGGCGAAAATTCGTTTAACATTTTAAGTGGGCTAAAAAGTTCGAGGTGAGTTTCGTAAGAATTTAACAACTTAATTTAATGCAGGACGTAAATGAAAAAAAAAAAAAAAAATGGTGAGTGAGAATTAATGTCATGTAGTTGGTTCACTATATTATATACGAATAACAAAGAATATAATATAATGTAATTTAATGAAAAATTAAAGTTATGTAAAGTTACTTACGTTTTTCGCTTTATTAATACTTTTATCTACTTCATTATTTGATATAATTTTAAAATATCATCTAGTGTACCTTAGTATATATGTAAAAACCCTAGAAATGCACTATTATTTCATACGTTTTAAATATTTCAACTCGAAAAAGCTAATCTAAGACCAATCTAACATAATATCCTGTCCTACAAAGCAGGGCTTGCAAACGTTATAATAATGTTATGATTATAACGTTATATTTGACAAATAACGATTGAAATTTGTAAACGTAATTATAACGGAAAGCGATAATCAAAAATAATTAAATACTGCAAAACAAAGCATAACGAATAACAATATATAAAAACGAAAAATAAAACAAAAAAACAAAAAATAAAATAAAACAAAAAATATGCCAAAACGTAATTTATAGAATATCATTAAATTATTAAACGAAAAATAACGCGAAAGTAAATTATTTGAAAATTTTAAATCCATTTATTTAAAAGTAAGGTATATACTATATAGGTAAATATATTTTATTTCATGCTATTTATTTTTGTCTTAGAAAAAAATCTAAGAATTATTGATTATATTATATTCCGTATCCGGGACATCCACCTACCCTCATTTTTTTGGAGTTATTGATAACTTTTAAATTGAATTGCCAATAGCAAATACCTAGTATAATAATGATAATAATTATTATTAATAATGATTAATGATGCCCCGATAATTGCGCTGTAGAAGTATAGAATATAGACTTATTTTGTATTCACTCTATACTTTGTCTATTCTGTAGTCTGAACTACTGCGGTCCTCTTGCGAGTGTTAAAGTATAATATACTATTGTTATAACATCCGTTTTATTTATATTAGCTACATGCCTACATATTAAAACAAATAACGCAATCATTGGTAGAACAATTTCCAACCCAGTACTGAAAATGCAAAGGTTTGGCCATTAACTTGTTAAAAAGTTATTTTTTTTTAATTTAACTAGTTAGGTTAGGTTAGATTTTTGTAGGATTTTTGTTTTTAGCTTATTAACTTCTTCAGTTAAAATGTTCAACGTAATTATATAAAATACCTAGGTGTTAGGTACATAGAATACCATTTATAAAAATATTAAATATTATTAAAATAATAAATTATAATTTTCTGGTAACGATGTTGTAAAAAATTAAGTAGGTAGTAAATTACTTGCTGGATTTTTGGAAAATGTTGGGTAAAATAACGTTTTAATTCTGAATAACGTAAAACGGGTATCATTAGTAACCAAGCAATTGTACGAAAAACAATTAATACGTGTGGATATAAGAAAAAAAAACAATTAAGTTGTTCGTTGTAAATACCTATGTAGGTAATATAACAACAGTATTTACCTATAATTTAGAAGCATTAAATATAATACTTTTATGTACAGAAACATTTTAGTGATTTGGATTCAAAAAATCTAAAATGAATGATCTAACTGGTTGTCTAGACAAGAGACATTATACTCTTGTGACGTTTACAATAAATTATTTACTTAGTATATAGAGGTAACCTGCTGACCCACCAGCAAACGCATATTGAAAAGAAATCTTATGCCAATAATTTTAGTCATCTGTCGAAAATTGTTCGACGGCAAAGACTTACACAGTTCCAAATCTCCAGTAGTCTCCAGTATTTTCATCCGTTCGTTTATCTTTGACACGTTTTCATTACTGACTATTAACAATCTATTTGGAGTCGTATATTTTGTCGAGGCACTGATTTCAGTCGATGCACTGACTTCAGACACTACGGTAGCAGATGAATCATTAGCCCGCATACCTAGCCAAGCTAAAAAGTTATTCCTCTTCTGATGTATTAGGTGGTATCCCCATTTATTCTTCCTTTTCAGATCAATTGAAGCTATTTGAGTGAAATAGCAAAACGCCACCTCTCTTTGGTCTACTATTGGTACTGGGATATCCACTTTTACTAGTCGTTTTGTGAATGTCCGACGTCTTGATAGTGAAACCATGCCTTGTTTGAAGGCCAGGAGGTCCTGGCTGGAAAGCTTCCATCGCGTGGCACGATACAACATTATGCGAATAAATTGTATAGTAAATTATAGAAAGATTGTTGCAAAGCAGTTGAACAGTTCAATGCTTTATGTAGAGTGATTAATACCAAATTTTAATCGAATATTATACAGATGTATGCTTAAATATTGTTACGATAATGTATATTAATATAAAGAACTCGAAAACCACTGCGCATATGAACGGGAGTGGTACAAAAAAAATTCGTAGAGACGCAAAACGTTATACTTATTATGACATGAAGCTCGCATATTGTATAATATTATAATATATCACGGGCTAAGATTATAAGAATGGATAGGACACGCATATACTTCGCAGGAGGTTGCTGTCTTTTTTGGGGAAGACGGAAAGTTCAATATCTAGGAGATAGATAGACTATAAAGAGGCCTTTTTTGAGGTGAGGTTACAATAATATTATCAATTATAAACGAATCCTTATAACCTCAAAAAATGTTAAAAGGTTGGAAACTTTTAAACACCGAGATCCGGTATGTATTCCGATGTACGGTATTTCTGGTAATTTTCGCACCTCGTTATTTTCGGTAACTACCGGGGAACGGTATTTTTGGTAATTCCTAAAAATACCGTATAACCGGTAATACTGTAGATACCTGTAGTAAACAAATACCAGATACCGGTATCAACATTTTAAATACCAGCCCTGGCTAGGGTAATATCAAATGGTACTTGGTTCTTGTTATAATAATATTGGAAATCTGTAATTAACTTAGATTAAAAGTATGCCTTAGTTAGGTAAAAATCTATATTGAGATTGACTATTTATCTAAATATCTTGCAAATAGTTTATTTTGAATCACGATTATTAAATAATTCTTAAAAAATTTTAACTGCTTAACTCATACTTTGCATGCGATACCTACCAATATAGGGAACTTATGTTCAAAATTCAAGTTATAAAAGTTAGTTATAAGAAAAATTATTTAGCTCTTGTAAATTAAACCTATACCAATTATTTCAATTAAAAGTATTAATGCATATTGTACTAAGCTTTAGAGGATCCTAGTTGATTAACTAGCGAACCAAAATTGATGATTTGAGTATCAAAATTTTCAGAAAAAAAAAGCTTTACCAAAATCCATAAAAAAATATAGTAGTAGTAATTATTTGAAAAAATAAAGTTGATTTTGCTATTGGTACATCTGCATGTTTAAAAATTTTGAAATTGTTATAAAAAAATTGCCTGTTAAAAATAAAGAAACATCTCTTTTTTCGTTTTAACTAAATTTTATTTCATTGATCCATCATAATCGTTAAAAACCACCGCGTACATTTACATAAGATATACCTTTATATTAAATCTTGGTAAAATTAAGTATTGTATAAAATGGCACAAATAATATTGTTCTGTGATAATATTGATATGATATATTTAATTGTTAACGTATGCCACTCTCCTCTAGAGACAGCGTTCAAGGCCACAATCGCCCGATCCGGACCATTCGAGGAGTGTCGGTGATTTATTCAATAAGATAACACCTATAATAGTACAACTATAGTACACCACAGCGACTTTCCTAGTTTTTCACATTGAAATTTATACCAACCTACTAAAAAACCGGAAAAAATGTATTTATAAATACTATTTTATTTATTATTTAAAAAAAAAATAAAATTATTCTGTTTTTTTTTTTTTTTTTTTGATGCTGGATATGATGAAACAAACAAATTATGACTATTTTACTTACTTTTTAAGTTACAATTTCAACTTCTATATTGTGATTTTTTTGTAAATTAAAAATCCATTGTCTATTGACTCCGAAATAGAAGTATTTTTTTATTCGTCTCTTGGGCCCCCTCACCAGCCACTGCTGTTGCTTTTTGTGTTATTATTTACACGTATTACAAAACGTAGTAAAAAAAAAAAGTATTTATTTGAAAGACTATTGACGCTATCTTGATTTCTGAAGAAAAAAACAAGTTATTTGGTAGATTGAACTTATTTTTGCCAAATACACTCGCATATATATAGTTATTATAATGTATAGTACTGTTTCATACAGATAACTTTTAAAGTCAATACCGTCTTACCGTTGTAACGGTATGAATAGGTTCGTGGTATAAATATTTCAAAATTAAAATAAATATTTTTAAAATTGCATTGTGTATAGTAAATAATATACCTACGTAAGTAACGGTGACCTCCCTCCACCTTTATAAACTCAATTGCGTTGTGTGAATCACAATTTATAGTGTACATTTACAAACTACAGAATTATAAAGCATCATAATATTTAAAATAAAATATATAATTTTTGAACTGCTAATAAGCGACGGATCGATAATCGCAGCAATGAGTAATGTATATCACCAGCTGCGGTTGTTAATTATCCATTTTCAAAAATACGAATCATATTTTGTCATTCAGTAGCTAGGTTTTATAATAATTTCACAACGCTAATCTTAAAACTACGAATCGCGATGCATCGTGGCCATTTGTTATAACCGTATTTATGAATTATTCATGAAACATTCCAATTTTACTTTTCTAACAACCATTACCCTGGGCTCTTCACCAAAGTAAGTTATAATATTACTTGCTTATCAAATTTAAATATTAAAATATTATTCGAGAACTTGTAATTATTAAATGTGCATACTTTTCTTGTGAGATTGAACATATATTATGAAAAATATTGTATTTTAAAATATAATAAGTAGAATATTATTGAGCTTAAAATTAGTAGGTACACTATACTTTTAAACTTTGTTCGATTTTGGACTTATCATCTCCTTATTGAAGTCGTACTGTCCTAGCATTAGATGTATTCATTAGCATTATTGAATAACCACGACTACCATCTGCCGTAAGATGCCTTAAATCTCTGAATAAAGTTAAGTGTACATTTTGAGTTATCTAACAGTGGGTAATTAATTACCTTTGCAAAGGATTTTCTTCATATATTTTCATGATTACTAGAAAAAAATGTACATCATTACTACTTATTATTACAGGTTGCTAAAATTACTATCGAAACATTATTTATATATACTATATTGTAATGGTGATATTTTTGATCGAATACTTGTATTTAAACTATTTAATATAATTTTAGTTATTTAATAATAAATTATTGTAATTTGTTATCATTAATACGAGTACCTATGATGAATGTTTAAACGGTTCATCGTTTTGAACTAAACAACACAATAATACACCTTGTGTTTATCAGTAACCAAAAAATAGTCCATAGTGTGACAATTGACCAATCATTACGTCTGATTGAATCAGTGAGTCCAAGATATTCGGTTTTTGAACTAATAAAAAAGTAGATTGGTACACTTTGGCAACTTATGCGAGGGTAATATTTTCAATTTAATGTCTACATTTAGTCATGAAATCGTGAAACTATAAAAATAAAAGTTTACAAATGCTTAAAATATTTACTTCCAAAGAGACATTATACATAATTTGGGTACTATATTATACACACTCATAATGCATATTTTATACTTAGTAGAAATCATAAATTGCCGGTATATCCCTAAAATAAAAAAGAGGTCTTCAAAACCTACACTTCATAAACACAAAATATGGTATTATATTCGTCCGTTTTTTTTCCGGCATAATGTTACTTGTACATTATTTTAAAACATTTGCCGTCAAAAATAGTTGCGGCACGCTTCATATGAAGATGTATTATAATATAGCTGTGGATTCACTCAAACATGTCTATAAGACACGTCAGGTTACTAAATCTTAAATCGTTTGGATTTATCCCATTAAATAATAATAGTATTATTGTGATTAGGTACAATGAATTATATTTTTAATAGAATTTTACATAAATCAAATTCAAAGAACAATCAAAAACATAATTTATAGTTTATTGTCTGTGTGAGCATTGGTCATTGATATTTTATTTTTTTGTTGACATGTACTAAAATATAAATATAAATATTTTAATAGAGTTATGTCGTTTTCATTGTTCCATCAACTTATAATATTATTGATTTTTTCAATTGGTTATTTGAGATGGTTTTATAAAATATACAATATATAGCTATTACAAGCCAACTCGTTTTTATTTTTATTTTTGTCTCGAAAGTTTTAACAGATTCTAAAGTGTAATTATAGTTTTTTAAGCTAGTATAGGTTGGATAGTATGTTTATCTGTAAATTATGCACTAATGATGCCACGGGTGAACAATAAGCCCCAACTTGCATTATGTACTTTAGTTCTTTAACTATGAAGGGGTAGAAGAGGACTTAGCTGAATGAACTATAAATAACCGATTGAACATATTATGTTTATAATGTATACCTACCTAGTTTATCTCTATCTCATCAGATATAATTAATTTGTATTCAGCAACACCTATGTAAAATGCTCTAAAATGTGGGCTTTGAAAAGTTAATTTGGAAAAAAAGTAACTAAACTGTATTGATAATACAATATTTGTGATTAAAACGAACTTAATTTGTTTGTCTGTGGCTTAACTGGTTTTAAGGTGGTAAATATTCTGCAATAGTGTTTAGAAAACTACATAAATTATTTAGCTAATATACTTATTATTTGATTTTCAATCATTATCTGATTAGTGATAATAGTTATTAGATTATAAAAAAAACTCGTTTGGATTACTAACCGAATCTAACCCCATCGAAACATTTAAAATGATAGAAATCAGATTAATAACAGATGTGTTTTTTTGGGTTTCGATGCTGACTCTTAAAGTTTTAAACGTATTTAGTTAGGAAGACATTTTAATTTTAATTATAAACTTCGATCGTAAATATTCAAATAGAAACCGATAAGAAATAATACAAAATTGTTTTTCAAAGTTGTAGTACGTATATCTGATTTGGAGCAACATTAATTTAAAGATAAATGTTGTTATTTTTATTTTTATTTAAATCTTTAATATTATAAAATATATATTAATAAAACAGATCAATCAGCGATATGTTTAAGACGAAGAACGAATAATAGATATACAAAAAAAGAACTATTGAATTTTTCTGAGTAGTTGGAAATTATATATGATCCAAAGATAACTGGAAAAACAATGTGAAAACGTTTTTCATCTACTAGGTAGCTTATTATTATTTCATTTTTTTTTTAGAGCTCAAATTAATTCCAAACCATGAAAATTATTTAAATTTTTACAATGAAAATGGAATCAGCTAAAAAGTCTAAAACATGTCGTTTGATGGCAGTTCAAAAAAAGATTGTTGGTGATTGTTGCGAACAAATAAAAAGGTTTTTTTTAAATTTTTAATACTCTTAATCCTCGTGGCAGGTGAAGTAATCCATTTTATACAATCAAATTTCCATTAGGTTTAAACCGTGAAAAAAAAACTAGTGTACATAATATTATAAAATAATGCCACGATGTTTGTACAAACGTGATTCAGTGATCTCTCTTGACGATTAATATGCAAATAATACAATCGTTATCCTGTTATCAGTAAATGGATTCCTCGTTCAGCCTTTTTTTCTTCATTCGTCTATTTTGGAACCACACTTTCACCTAGGACATATTGATGTTAATTACATATTTATATATTATTCACAAATTACATTATACAAGATAATCGAAGTATAGGTATTATTATATTGTGTTAGTAAACTGAGAGTATTTATGTTATAATATGTTAAGTATTAACTTATAATATTATAGTTTACTTTGAATTTTGAATTTTTGAACTTCAAAATGCATTTTAATGTATGATACAGTTTTAATTATAAATATTATTTTCAATTCGCCAATTTTAATTACACATGACGATAATATGACGTGACTTATGTTTAGATGAGTAATTTTCACATCTAGCTTAAGTGCATAATAAATTGTCATTCGTCTGTTAACGAAGTAAATAAATATTGCTTATTGATGCTGTAAAACATAATAAACTAAATAAGTTTAAGTCCAAAAACGCATCAATAATTAATCGAACAAATTAAGTCTCATTTCAATGTTAAATTAAGACCCATGAACGAGTTTACAAGATATGTTTTATCAACAAGAAACGAAAAGATAATTAACGATTCGTAAAAAAACCAAACAAAAACACGTGTGACAGCAGAATATGTTATACATTTTAATAATTACTTGTCGTTCTGTGAGACCAAGTATTAGAGCCACTTCGTACCGCCTTAACCGAGTCAAGTATTTGCACTTCTCAAACTCTCCCTCGAGCCACCCCAATTGATATTTCGTAAACGCTGTTCTAGATTTTCGACTTTTTATGCTATGCTCGTTTTCTAAAATAAACAAAGAAAAAAAATCATTAAAATTGTATGTTTATAGTGGGTATAATATGTACTTACAATAAATTGCTGTGAGTTTTTTTTTGCAACGGAAATGTTTTAGAGATAGCGGGAGAACAATATTCAGTTAATGTAACAGTAGTTCTATTTATTGAGTGAGACATTGACAACAATCATAATATGAGTTTATGACCAAAAGGCAACAACGATAAAATGTATATTATAGTAAATATTATCAATAGATGAATCTACATGATACAATTCCCCTTCATCACCGTTATAATATTACACATTGTCTATACATTTATACTAGGGTTTGGGACTTATTACAGTTAAATTTATCGAAATAATATTATGAATATATTCGAATGAGCAATTAAAAAATGGCGAAAACATTAAGTATAAAAAGTTAACTTTACCTACATTTAGTTAGTGTTTACACTTTACACGACCCGACGTCAAATCATATATTATATTATACAGCCCTATAATAGTTACATACTTAATTATTATTTAAAATGTATACGTTCTAATAGTAGAAAGGTTTTATTTCATAATATAGAATCTATATAGCATCCAATAATAATAATAATACTCTTAGCTTTGACTTTTGGTAGTAATTTTTAGGTTACTTAATATGATGTAATATTTACAAGATGATTTTATACTATTATCTTTCATAGCAATTTAATATGCTGATCGCCTACTGAACAACCAACTCGAATTATTTGGGATAAACTACCTATCATTTTTGTATCGGTAATAATTATTACTGTAACTAACATGAGGTACATACTATTTTTTTTTTAAGTTTATTTTATCCCAAAAACTAATAATATGTGGTGTTTACGTTACATAAAATTAACGAACCTAAGATAAATAATTTTAATTAACAGTTATCAAATATTCTCTATATTTGAGCTTAAGAACGTTTCATTTTAAACTAATAAAATATTTAGATTTACAGTAAAGGTTGCAAATAAAATATGTTAGGTACTTATAGAAAGTTGTGAATACATATTTTGAACTTTGACAATGTTCATATAATAGAACTACAGAAGACTCAAACAATCAAATTAAAAAATGGAATTCGAACAATTTTTATCATTAGTCATAAGTTTAAATTTACTTGTAAACTTTTATAAATGCAAGTTTATATGACATATATTTAAATTAACTTTAATGTATTTTATTCATAAATTATAAAAGTAACTTATGTTAAAGTTATGAAAAAATACATTATAAAAATAAATTTAAATTATAAATAAAAGGAAATATTTAAGTTTATATAAAAGTATTGGAGTCAAATCTTTATTATAATATATCCTTTATGGTCAATTTTAAAATAATCAGGTAGTTATTATATTGTAAGCTATAACGGATGTTTAAGTTACTCTTAGTATAGATGCAATACTGAAGCACATCATCGATTGTGGTGAGTTTTCAATTAATTCACAATAACTACGACTTTGCATTGTTGATGGGAAATCTGAAATAAATACATTTTGTTGCTCGTCTGTAGCATGTGACTTCACCCAGTCATTTTCGATTTATTATGTAACTATGCAATATACTACATCGCTGGTTATCCAAAAACATTGTTATTTATATTTTACAGCAAGAAAAAAAGTTTTAAGCCTAGAAATTTGTGTAAAGATGTCATTAATAAATAATTGGTGAGCTGATACAAAATAATACAATAATTTATTCTTGACGAAAACTTTAATTTACACCCTTGTTTTTATTGTTTACTTCTAGCCAGTATTCAAATGTATATTATTCGTTGGTAATGAATCGTAATAAGTTCATCTGCACACAATAGCATTTTTTAAGTTTTAACTTATATAATATATTTTATAGCCTCTGCAGTCTTTTAAAATCTTGTAGGTAAGTTTAATAATAGTATTGTTATTATAAATCATTATTAATATTTTTAATTAGTTTGATTAAAAATATATCATAACTTTTACGTGATTGAGCCATTGAGGTTTCCCATTTTCTGGAATCCCAAAGGAATACGTTTCCTTTGTTATGGGGTTTTCCAGCGTTAACCGTTTCCTACTATATATGTATGTGCAGTTTTCCAATTATAGCTATAACGCATACGTGTAACAAAGGTAAACACTTGCAATTAATAGAAGTAATTTTACAAACAAACTTTTGTTGTCAACTTGTATTCACTGAATTTGATAATACATTTGAGAAGTGCAGTAAGTTTTTGTTCAATTTATTTTTCACCCATGAATGTTGATATCATAAAATTGTTGAAATTGTATAGTTCATTGGTACAATAATTCGAGGTGTTCGGAAGAAAATTGTTCAATTTTAATTATCTATTTATATCTAATTAATATATCTATCTAATTAACTATAGTTATAAATGGTCTGCTTTAACGAGCCCGGCTGCATTTACGAGTACCATCATTTTTAACATAATTTTATCCGTGTTGGGTACAGAAAATTATTCGCAAAACTATAAATCTAAATAAAAAAAACGAATTCTATATTTAAATATATTGTTGTGGTTTTTTGCATTCACTAAATGTCTTGTGATCCCCCCTGATTTCACAATAAAGGGTGGAGATGCATTAGTATGCATCCCAATAATTAATTACACTCAGATCTTCGTAAAAGTAAAAGTGAAAAAAAAAATATGCAAAAGGTTGAATAATTAATAACGAACAAATAGTTTATACCAAGCCGTGTATCTTCATTTTATTTTCAACTGAATTTCGGTGTGTATAATATAACTCATTGTGTGGTTCGTAAAGCAGATGTTTCAAATACTTTCAATAAAAACAAAGTAGATACTAAATTTATTTAGACATGATGTTTCTCATTTTTTAAAAACCAATACAAAACGATTACATTATATTCTAAAGACTTTTCCTTTTTTATTTTCCGTATATTATTTTGTTTTTAAATTTATTGGAGTTTCGTTTCAATCAGAAATATTTTTTTTTCTTATTTCGAAAGATCTTTTGAACATTCATTAATTATTTTACTCAATTTGCAGCTGCATAAGGTACCATAATAGTTTGAATAATGTATAATGGAATAGGTGAATAAATACTTTTAAATATATAAAAACGAAAAAGTATATTTTTATTTAGTATACAGTGATTGGTTGTTGAGCACTCATTATGATTCGCTCACATCGGTATAGAACATGTAAAGATGTTATATTCTTGAAAACTAATCATTGTTAAATCATTGTATTCTAAACATTATTGAAGTTCTCTCGGTTAATCTATTTGATCATATTTGCTGGAATTTCTATAACATTTTTCATAGTTTTAGTTAAATCATAAAAAATAAAAAATAGAATTTTTTTAAGTACCTAGTTACTTACCAATCAAAGTTTGTTTTTAATTTTACTTTATTTATAAATTGTATAATTTAATTATTTAGTTATGAAATAATATTCAAAAAAAAGTAAGCAATGATATAGACAAAATAATAATATATTGATTGATAGTTTTGATTATGACATTATATTTTGATACTTCATAAATGGATATAAATCAGATATAGCAACCATAAGCAAATTAAGTTTTACATTGAAAAAGGACTTATTTTCTTTACGGAATCTTGAACTTAGGTTTATACCATAATAGAACTTTCGGGTTTAAATATTTAGTAATCAAAATTTAAGAACATATGGTTATAAATAGATTTGTATATTGAAGCGTTTAAACAGTTTAAAATGAAACTATTGTACATTAAAAATGTCTAACTCATGCGGAAGAAACTTTTAGTTTCTAGTTAGACAAACTTTATTTTTGTACACGAACACAAATTTTCCTGACATATGTCAAAAAAGTATACCGTTTAAAAATCATCCTATAAACACACTATTTAAATATAATAGTTTTTTTTTGATTTATTCAGTTATAAAAGATTTAGCTTTGAAAACATTTATGAATTTATCATTCTAATTTTGCCATGAAATGTTCAAATGTACTACCTATACTAATGTGTTTTCACAGAGTATAAAAATAAGTATTTATTTTATCATGGTAGTATTGAAATTGATTGATTAAAATATGAATATTATTAACATATTTACCTTTGTAACATAATATTTTATGAATAAATTATCCTATGCATTTCCCCAATGATACCTATTTCCATGAAACAATCCTAATTTTTATCTGAATTTATTTTTCATCAATCCATTATGACCCTAATGGTTAGGCTAATAGGTACAAAAAAGGTCAATTAACGATTTTATCATAAACAGTACATTATAAAGCTATTTCGTTAATCTCTGCGTCAATAAACCCTACGACAGGTACGTGTAGTATTCAACATATTATATAGTATAATAGTAATAATTGTTGACACTAATCCTTTGTATTCGGTAATTGATTTACAGTAAATTAAAATAAATGAGCGTCTAACGTATAACTTACATATTGTAGTATAAAATATTATTTCATGGTACATCAACATAAGTATTATTTATACGAGCATATTAAATTATAATAATTATTATAATTGATAAAGGTTAAAAGATCTAAATATTTAAACAATGAGTAGGTACGATGTATCATTATATTGTTAGTAGTTTAAATGTACGATGAACATAATAAAATATATTTTGTAAAAAAAAGTAGGTAATACATAATATTTCTTCAAAATGTCAACAATGAAAAATTTTAGATTCTGAGCGGAGCGATGAATGTATTGGTTTTACAATGATGTGTGTTTTTTTATTTTTTTATTATCTGTGTACACGATAAGTAGTCGAAATAATGCTTCGATTTTCGACTTCAGTATCTTGTTCGTTTGGAAAGTGAATATCGTTGGTGCATTGGGGAGGTCAAAATTTAAAATTCCCAGTACTTTTCAAAAGCGCCAAGAAAAACAAAAGAAAAATGATTTTTACGCAAAATCAATTTTTCAGAAAATTGAATTTTGTTTTTGGTGTAACTTTAAAACAAATGACCGTAGGTACATGAAATTTTCACTGGTTGTTTATATTTGCATCT